CGGAAACGCGACCCACTGAGAAGATCCGGCGAGAAACTCAGTGGGCTAAAAATTTATTGCTAAAAAACGAGTTGTTAATTGGTTACGATTGCTATGTGTGATAAAGGATTTATTAAAGCAAAGTCTGAAGCTTTGGGATTATCACGGTGCACAGCTTGAAACCTTTTATTTCGACGTTTGTCATCTTGGGAAACATTTAGAAACATTTTTTCAGGAGTTGTTTTTCATGCATAATGGTACAACACAAGAACGATAACTTTTGAGGTTCGACATTTTCAATATAAATATTTGAATATTTAACAATGACAACAAAATTAAATAGATCAAAACACTGTACTTATTATTTCTATATGAACTGCAATGAGGGAAAACTAACATTATGACGTCACACGCACTCTGGTTTGATCGGGAGCTTTTTTTTTATGATTGAAGTATTACTGGTGGCCCGGAGGCCTTTCCAGTTTCACCAAGACAGGTGGGCGAGCAAAGGCTCAGCCAGAAGGAGTGGGATTTGCTAACAACTACCCGAGCGCCTCCGAAGGAAACCTAACAACTCAAGAGTAGCTGCTTCGCGAATGAATCTACTACCGGATCGGAATCGCGACCCGCTGAGAAGATCCGGCGAGAAACTCAGCGAGCTGATTCATGGGTTAGGTTGCACGGCGAACTCTTTGTCGAGTTCGACGAGTACGGTTACCGAGGTCTCTAAGCCTGCTCCTAGTGTTAGAGCTGAAGGCGTCTAATGCAAAGGTTATTGGATCTGATGGATCCGTAAGGACGTGTCTAGAGCGTCAACGGTGACTGGCTCCTGCGTGATCAGGATTCGGGGAGTAGTCAGCGGCGGCAACGATAAGGCGATTATCATGACGAATAGCCTTATCGAAGTACCGTTCCGACGCTGACTTCATGTATTTCTGGATAGATTCGAGGCCCAGGTCGTCGTGTAGGTCAACGTTCCTCACGAACCACGGAGCTCCGACGACTAACCTGCAAAAGCGGGATTGTAGAGATTGGAGGGTGTCTATGTGTGTGCGGGCCGCGTGAGCGAACACCACACTCGCGTAAGTCATGACGGGCCGTAAGTCATGACGGGCAAGATCGGGAGCTGTCGACGTGCCTTCGGTACTTCATTCAAAAATTAATTTTTATTTTGATATAACTTTTGAATAAATGCGCAAAAAAATTTAAAAAAAATTGTTTTGTTATAAAACTAATATATGATCTTTCCATTTATCACAAAAAATTTTTTTTTCAAAAACCCTATTCTCTAAGTTCAACGGTCATTCGCACAATAAGTTCACTATTTACAAAGCAGTGCATTTTCTCTCTCTCTCTCTCCCTCTCTCTCTCTCTCTCGCTCTCTTTCTCTTTCTCTCAAATCGGTTACAATTCTGTCATCTTATTGAGTACGATCACGTGGCCGTTATCACTGAAAGGAGCCGCCAAACCTTTGTCCTCTAAAAGGCTCCGACGACCGATTACTTTCCACCTATTCGATATTTGAAAAGTGTAGGTAGATCGTGTTTGAGACTACGAGAAGGGTAATCTAACGGACCGATTAGTATTTGGTATACTAAAATGATGTTTATTGTAAATACTGAAATATTTCCATTCTGAAATCACATTTTGATAACATCATCAACTCAAATCTTTTGTCGATTCCGTAAAAAAAAAAAGGTCCACCGAACAAAGCGTTGTCTATCATTAAGTAACAATAAAATAAAAAGAAAATGAAATGTAATTAAGCTTTATAAGTTGAGAGGATCAACTTGAAACGTAGAATTATATAAAATTCGAAGTAATTATAGACAAGTAAACATCGCCTAAGCAGCTTATTTCTGAAGTTGCGGTGCCTTTGCGTGCTCATTTTTCTTTTGCCTGTTTTTTGTTATTTACGATAAGATTAAGGTTCAGAAATGAATCGGTTTATAATATCCTTTTAAAAATAATAATTGAAATGTCTTTAAAATTATATTTTAGACTTTTTTATTAAAACGGAGCCGAAATGTATTTATTTTTTCATTGAAACTAAAACAAATGATTTTACGTTCTATTTTATTGTAAGTAATTTGCATCGTTCATTGTACAATACTAATGAAAATTCCAATATATTTCTGAGGCTATGTAAGTGTGAATATAAATTCATGTGCTAAAGAAAACGAGACTCATAGATACTGACATCTATGCACGTGCGCGAAAACATTACTAACATGGCATTTTAGTTCTTATTCCAACAACATAGTAACTAGGCTTCTATGATTGCACAGATGCCCTAGAACTCGGAGCTGTTTATTCTTTAAGAAGTCCCTTTCACTACATTCGAGGTTAGCAGTTCACGTTCAAAATCATCCAACGAAAGTGTCAGTGGGGTCATGTGGAAAATGATGACGTGAACCTCATTTCAAATATGCATAATCTTCTCTTAGAATTTTCAAGAGCGTATTTCCCTTTAGCACGTACTCGTTTATGTCTATTTATAGCCTGTTCACAGAAGTACTATCGATCCACTAGTTAAAAGACTATAACATGTGACAATAAGAATCTATATACCTAGTCAGGTCATAAATTCTGTCACATGTTTAATGTAAAATAATTGAAACAAGTTTATTCATTATGTAACCATTCATATACCAAAATGAACTTAACAAAACATAGATTATTATAGACCGAGGGCGACCACTTCTTGACCTGTCATCTACACTAGAGTCTTCATTGTATCGTTTGATGGTACGATAAACGAATCTTTTGGTTATATTCAAATTTTTCAGTATGTTAAAAATTTGAATTGGCGCGTAACTGCAACGATGCAACGCAATAACTGCAACACGGTCTTCTTTAAGCGTCCACTCCATATATTTAAAAATGAGTAAAATTCTAAAAGTATACATTTTTATTTTCATGAACAATTCGAAATTCGAATTCAATAAACTTTTGTGTGGCCAGCATTCTAAAAGAAAAGTTTTTACTGTGTGACAATACTTATGACCTGACTAGGTATATAAAAATGAATTGCTGTTCGTTAATCTCGCTAAAACTCGAGAGCGGCTGGACCGATTTGGCTAATGTTGATCTTGAATTATTTGTGGAAGTCCAGAGAAGGTTTAAAGGGTAGATAAATATGAAAATGCTCGGAATTAAATATAAATAATAATTTTGTTTTTCCTTTGATGTGTAACCCCGTCGGACGGATTCCTTTTGTTGTTTTAAGTTTATTTAATACAAAAGTTTAGATCTTTTATTTATCGATTGAGGCACTACAAAGTCTGCTGGGTCAGCTAGTAACAAATATAATATAAATTAGACATTATAATAAAGTTATTATTTGAGATCATAACTGCATTTTAAAAACGCTAGAAATTATTTCAAAAGGGTCTGCTGTGTTCTACTAGCATTATAATAGTATCGCATGATGGCAATGACCACTTTAGTTGACCACTTGTTGGCTGTAGATGTGTTTGGTGCTGACGGCAATGTTAAAACAAGGCAATTGTAATCGTGGGAAACAAAAAAGTGACCTCGCGAGATAATAACATGAAATAATGTAAATCATTTATATTCAACGTTTAAAAGAATTTTATACATAGATTTATACAGATTAAATATTTCTTTTTAAGCATTTAGAATTATTATTTTTCGCGATTCAATATATTTACACAAAAAAGTGAACTGGTTAATAGTTTTAATACTTATCCATTGCCTCCGCATAATCGCGTAAAAAAGTTCCTATGTGTTTGTTCAAGTTCCAATTATATAAATGTATATTTGTTAAAATCCCTCCGCTATCGAATCATTTGCGTAGGAATTGTTATTTATCTCTGCTCAAATAGAGCGAAGCTAACTTTATAGCTTACTGTTATCTTAGCTCTTCAAACTAATCGCGTTGTCGACATTTATATGGTCGATTTCAATTTGAATACATCTTAGAACTGATCGCCACGCGCCGATATTTTTTTTTTGATTCTAGAGCCGGGATTTTTTGATGCATTGTACTTTGTACGATTATCGACTTCGACATGTGTGTGAATTACTTAGTAATAAAAAACTAGTAATTAGTGAACTAATAAAAATCCATCCAGAGATAATTAAGAAAACTTATTACTGAAGGCAAAACGATTAACGAATATTAACTTTCCCCTATTCGAGCCTCTTCGTGGAATGCTTTGTGCAAAACAGCGTTTAGTACTATTAGACGTGATCATTACATATTTTCATTGAAGAGAAAAGTGACTACGTATGTTTGTGAGTTGTACCGATGTCGTACCAAAACCATCATAAAATGTTGTATGATAACAAGCATAGCATATAATGTTATAACTTACCGATAGTTCTTGTGGTAATATATTACACAGTAAGAGCTTCACAGAGTTCGGACATGAAACTACGATAAATTAAGTGATGTTCGAAGAAAAACAAGATAAGACTCTTATTATAAGAACTAAGATAAGACTTGTTATAAAAAAAGTTGGTATGTCAACTATATTATAATAATTTTTCTTCCCCAATTAAATACGTAGTCAAAAAAAAATGATATATAAATTGGAAAATTAGGAGCCTGAGCCGTCCACGATATTTAAGTATAGGTAATTATTAAATTGTAAGAAAATTGATGAATCAATAAAATCAGGTTTTGGTTGGTTTTTGTTTAACTTATAATTTTTAAAACAATAAATAATAAAGTATTTTACTTAAACTCCTGTAATTTTCTGTCTCTATAAAAATACACTTAGATTGTATAGACTTATAAATAGCCACGCTATCGGTAGGTACAGTACTCCAAACTTGAGTGAATATATTGTTACCGCTGTTGATTCAATTATATTACTACTGAAGTTAGTTACATAACTCAATCGCAATAGCGAATATATAGAGATTCGCTACATACTGTTTGCAGGATGATTCTCAAATATTAAATATAAATTTGAACGAAATATATTTGCGGAGACGCAACACCGCAACAATAGATATTTAAGTCGTAACTCTGACCATCTGTTTGTTCGCAGGCTCTCTTGAAAATATCCTCGGCTTATCTGAACAGGAAGATACCGAACATTCCAGACATAAAGGTCGACGGTGCGGAGGAGAAATGGTCAGTACAGAGTTATTTACAGCTAGCAATTCAATTAATGGACAACGGTGGCGTTGTGTTCGTGCACCCGGGACTGAAACAGAATTTCCCACATCGCCGTACTCACGAACCTTACTGATGCGTTAATGAGTACGCTTCCTTTAATTGGTTTTTGTATCGCACATGTTTTCTAAGTATAGCTCGAATCAAATGAGAAAATAAAGGACGAGCTTAATATATTAAATAATGAAATAGAAGTTTTTTTTTTATTTATTTTTTATTGCTTTGATGGATGGACGAGCTCACAGCTCACCTGGCGTTAAGTGGTTACTGTCGCCCATAGACATCTACAACGTATATGCGCCACCCACCTTGAGATATAAGTTCTAAAGTCTCAAGTATAGTTACAACGGCTGCCCTACCCTTCAAACTGAAACGCATTACTGCTTCACGGCAGAAATAGGCAGAGTGGTGGTACCTACCCGCGCGGACTCACAAGAGGTCTTACCACCAGTAAATACTCAGTTGTTAAGTTTGTATCGGAGCCTATAGACATCGCCACGTGAATACCGCCATTTGGTTCATGCTTTAGGCGAGCCGATTTGTTTAGAAATGTATGTCATATATGTTGTATTGTAAAATGTTTTTTTTTTTAAATACATTATGAACGCCTGTCATAGTATAAGAATTCACAAACAACATGTAACAATAAAAAGCACACGTAGATTAATGAAGATGAACCTACCTAATTGTTTCATCATGCTTTTGTTAATATCCGTACGTCGGAATTATGTGTAATTTGTATGTCCTTAGTCTTAAATTTAGTTCCATTGTGGCTAAACTATTCACGACGTTGATTGTTCGACTCCAAAGCCTAATTGTTTCCAACACTCATAATTTAACTTTTGGGAGAATACTAACAAAACTCCCAACAGATATGTCAATTTAAACGGCAATTTGAAGTAATAATCTGATTCATGAATTAGAAACTTTCATTGTTTGATCTATTGTATTTCTTGTTGGATACAAGTTTTGCGGGAAAATTTTAAAGCTGAAGCCTGAATTTCGACGTATTGAAGGTTCGAGGTATTCTCGGTGCATCCGGCTTTGGATTCTCTGAATGGTTTCGTTCGGAGTACGTGAGCCGATGCAGCGCACTCGTGTGGAATCATCGTGTGATATGATAGCAGTATTAGAGCGGAATTCTTGTACAGAGCCCAATAGCTCTCGGAAGTTATTGTGGTATTTCATCGAGAATCCTTTTAAGAACTCTGTGTAAAACTTTGTTCAGTGCCTCCGAATGATTTTTTTCTACTCAATAGAATCGCATGAAAGACGATCTAGGACAAGGCGATTAATATTCATAGACCAGTATACAATTATCAGTAGACGGAAGCAATAAGAAACATTGCTGTTATAAGTAATTTAACTGAGCGTTGTAAATGTTACAAGGTAAATATCATCGTCTCAAACAATAGTCGACATATTTCGCTTGACAAATAATTTAGTAATTACTGGATACATCAAATGTCGATAGACAATGTCAAATCAAATATTAACTGCGTCTGAGAATATTTTACGAATGCCATGTTTCTATTAGGAGCTGCTAGTAGTCAGGAGTTGAAATCTGACCATGATTAATTAAATTTGAACATTTTTAAAGATCTATCCATGTATCACAGGTACAGGATTTTGAATTAAGTACACCGTATGGATTATCTCTGCATCTTTAATTGTGTCAAAATTGTTCGCTCAACGTGTTCAACAATTAAGATTTATCTTCAGATATTTTTGTGCACTCATCCTTCATACTAAGTTTAACTATACCAAATCACACAATGTCCGGTGCGCACAATGTACCGGAAAGTGTAAAAGGTTTTTTCTTTACATATTCCATGAATACGGAATAGTTGAAAATTTTAAGACTGTGATTTTTTTTTTCACGACCTGCATTATTATTATTCACTTTTTATAAACAATTTGGAAGTAAATAAAATTAAATAATAATAAATAAATAAATAAATCAAATAAATATATAAATATTTACTAACGCCACGTTAAGTGGTCCCGTACTAAGTTCGTAAAGAACTTGTGTTACAGGTACCAGATAACGGAAATTGTAAATGTAAGATTTTTATTATACACATACATAATAATATATTTAATATACATCCATAACCCATTTTATATTTATCATACAAATATCTTCCCTTGGCGGGATTCGAACCCGCAACCCCCTTGTGTAGTGACTATGTCAGTTACCACTACACCAGACGGCCGCTAAATGTGCCGTAATATGACATAAGTGTCAACTTATACACATAACTTTTAATCTCGCAAATAGCTTCTTGTATTGTAACGACATTTAAACTAGTGAGCACCAATAGAACTAGGCGATGCATATATTTGCAAGCGAAGACGGCATTATTTCAATAAATCCAGAGAACTTCAATAATGTCGTTTAAACAAAGATTCCTAAATTTAGCTAAAGAAGGTCACTTCTAATGCTTAATGTATAAAATTAAAGTAGATGAGGAAAGTAACTGCAAGACACTAACTAAAGGAAGGATGGACGCGGTTGTGACTTGACTAGGCCTCTGCCGTGAAGACCGTCTGTGAACGCCCCTAACCAACCCAACCATTAGTTGGGCCGTATGCTGCAATAAAAATAAGCTTCTACGCAATAATGATGGAAAACAAATGATAATAGCTCCAGTAAACTGAGGTCTCATGCAAGCGCCTTATTAGTACTTACTAGTGGTCCCCCGGTAGTCGAAATTCGCCTATAATTAATTAAAATTATAAGTTTGTACACTATTAAGATTCTATTGTCAAAGACTATTATTATACTTCTTCAATAACATATTTCGCCAAGACTACATACACTTATTAATAAAGACAAACAGTATTAACCTATTCTCAATTAGACCACAGACTTTAAATAACAAAAGGTTGACAGTAAACAAATAGTATAAATTATTTAAGTGTGTGTGTCAAATATGTGGCAGTGTGTGTAATGCTTTTATTGTTGTTTAAGGTATTGTTAATGTAAAAAAAAAAATAGCATTCTGCACTCCTTCCCTAGATTCTCTATAAGTGTGGGAAATTTCACACTCCTCCGTCCACGCAATTTCCGTAAAAAGGGGTACAAAGTTTTTGCTTCACGTATTAATATTAGTATACTTATTACTTCATCCATAGACTATTGTCATATCAGAAGACGGTAGAACGTATTTCGTCTGCTCCTATTCGAATCAGCTATGCATTCTGATCTCAAGGGTGGGATAGCCACTGTGAAAAATAACCGAACCTCTTACTGAGATTTGATAAAACCTTACGGATTGTGGCCAGTTTATAATTAACAAAATTAAAAAAAGACTACGCTACCTAATTGATAATATTATAACACCGATACTATTATCACGACATTTCAGGGACCATTAAGCCGGTCCGAGACTTCAACTCATCGATATGCTATGAATAATTTAGGGCGGTGGACGATCCAGGACATATTATTATTTCAACGTTGGTATAATGTGGAAACATTAAGTTCCACGTAATATTTTGAGGTCATGGGCACAGAACACTTGTTGTTTCGCTCCTTAGATCTTGAAAAAAATTGTTGAGTGTAGGTTAAATGTTTTAGAAGATTATTACCAAAGCCGAGAGTGAAGCTGTAAACAAATATTTTCTGAATTTTTCACAATTTTCATAATTCGAATTATCTCTTATTAGCCATGCATACATTCGCTTCGGTTTCATTTCTTTTAGTTATTTTTAAACTTATTTACATACCAATAGTTAGGATTGATATAATTCATGATATTCTAAATCTCGATTAGACGCTAAAGAATTCTTTTTTTTTTCTTAGATGGTTACGTTTTAAGCGGTAGGCGGGGGCTTGGCCCTGCCCCTGGCATTGCTGACGTTTATGGGCGACGGTAACCATTCACCATCAGAGGGCTCGTCTCCTTACAAGGGCAATAAAAAAAATTATAGGTCATGACTCATCTGGTCTTATGATTTAGGTCTACCTTAAGACATGAAGTCGAAATCTCAACCGCTTACAGTAACGCACGGGCTTACGATACACCCTAGCACCAGTAAATGTCGGTTTACGATCGCACTACTTTAGTTTAGTTACCTTTTACAACAACGATGAAAAAAGATGTGGAGTGTTCCAATAGGTCCCTGGACTACACAGAGTCGATGATTGTTCTAGGATTGCTTGTACACAGATTTTGGTTTTTCCTTGACCTCTAATTTATTAACTAACTTAATCAGATAACGCATCAACATTTAATAATAAGGATAGTGTTGAATCGTGGATATCCGACTTTATGACTCTTATGACGACACAAATTCGTCGTATAAATTCTTGTACGGGAAACCAGGATTGTAACTGTCCCTTGGTTGGTGTGTATAACTTTGAATGTCTTCATTCATGAACAATGTTTTAGTCTGTAGCACGTACTACGAAACTACGTAGCTTTCATGTAGCACACGCTACAATAATTTACATACTACGCGACCGAGGGAGAGTATTGCTAAGTTATTGTGACTGAAAGCTTTGCTGGTTTATTAATACGATGATTGTAGAATAATATTACAAAAAAAAATTATTCAGAAATATTTTAAGTATATTTTAAGAATAATTTATAATTTTTAATTCTTTGAATTTATTGAAACTTTAAAATTGACGTATTCAAATTCCATTTTGGAGAGCGAGAGATGTCGTGGTGAATGTGTACCGGGTGATTTCCATAGATACGAATATAATTCTATTTAACCCTTAATATGTAACGCTTTGCGGGGACGAGAGTCAAAATTTCTCTTAAAGTTCGTTGCTGGTTCAGAGCGAAGTTATTTTTTTTTCTCTATAGCTCATCGTTCATAGGTTTTTCATACCATCACTTGTGATGAGAAGCAAAAACATCAAAGAACGCATACTCCGCGATAAACCAATAATCGAACCTACGTCAGTTCGATCAGTCAGTCAGATCAGTTTCAGAATTAAATTA